TGTACACATACAAGGCACTGAATGGAACAGCTCCTCAGTACCTACAGGAGCTTGTTACCCTGTATCTGCGGTCGGAGTCAGAATCTTTGTTGTGTGTCCCAAAATCTCGTACTGTGACCTACGGAAACAGATGCTTTGGGAGGGTTTCGGCTACGTTGTGGAATAGCTTACCATCTGCAATTAGAAAGTCAAATACCCTGGCCAAGTTCAAGAGGGACATCAAAACTCACCTCTTCACGTCTGCATTTTAGAATCCTTGCAAAGACGTCATGTAAGTACCACCCTTTTATTTGTTCAATTATGTGCACATTGCTTGTTAAATGTAAAAAAGTGATTGTAAGCCTATGTTTTTTGTTTTCACAATTATAACCATTAGTATTATCCATATGTTGTAAAGCGCTTTAGAGTAATTTTACAAATTATATAGGGCGCTATATAAATGTGGTATATTATCATTATTATTTCCTAGCGCCTTGCTTGGCAACACTTCACGTTTGGCTTGAATGTTGAGCGTTCGCCCAGATGAGGAAGGCAATGGGTTTTGTCCCCAGGCCGGGACATACCAAAGTCCTTAAAAATGGTAGTTGTTATTCGCTTCTTAACGTTCAGCATTAAGGGTAATGGCAAGAACTGGTTCACCTGTTGTCAGTATAATGTGACCGGGCGGAATGCTGTGCTGGGCGCCTTCGGCATTGCATTTCAGTGAGATAGCACTATAAAGTGGACAACAGATCCGCGCTATCACAAGGAGTCAAGCGCACCAACAAACCCTGTCTCCTGCATACACACACGCAAGCACGCATAGACTACACTACACTCATGGAGGCACGTCCTTAAATGACTTTAGCTGTTAATAGGACGTTAAACAAAATTAAACAAACCTGGCATGGCAGAATAGGTAACTGGAATGTAACGATGTTGTTTTCAAAACACTAACTTTCAGAAAAGATTTAATCTTATATACGTATAAATCTTTCCATTTTTTATAAAAGAATCGGATATCGATATCGGCAGAGTGTGTACGCTTAAAGGCAGTCACTCAAACTAATCCGACAAGTAGCGCCAACAGCCAAATTCGCGAGACATGAAAAAGACCAAACAATTGTGATTTCAGCAATTCTTCTTTGAAAAGAAAAAATCGGAATGTTTTTAGCTGTTTTGAGCCCGTTAATAATTATTTTTCAATTTCAAAACGTTTATCATTATCGGTTCAATTCCCATGTAAGTGACCTTGTTAGTTCCTGCCGGTAAATATTATCACGTGACCTTGACTCTTTGCAGTACACAAACTTGCCAATTTCGCCACTTTCCCCGTGTCGTTTTGACACATTTCTACTGTCAAGATTGAATAGTTCAGCATGATTTTACGCAAGAACGGCATTTAACCCCAGACATCATCGATATACGGGGGATACGCTCACTTTCGTTCTCTTCACCACTGGAATATGTCATAGCAAAATTGAATGCTAAGTGTGCGCCACCTTGTGGACGAGACGAATAGACTAGTTGGATCCTTTGATGTAAGAATTTCGCGGTCGCGTAACGGTAAAACTTTCTGACTTTGAAGTCGGGCGTCGCTCCTCTGTAATCTTTAAAGAACAAGTATCAGCCTAGTGATTGGTCAGGATTTTTTTAAACCTGATACCAATCAAAAAGCTAGCCGCGTGCCTTCAATTTTGCTATGCCTATATCCAGGGGTGCGGAGAACGAAAGTGAGCGTAACCCCTGGATATCGAGGATGAACCCTAGAGTGCTAATTACGATGCTGTTATTCGTTATGTTTAAGTTTAAGTTTAAGTGGTATTAATCAATTCACAATGTAACGTCAATTACACCTGAAAGTTTGGCCTACATTTATCGAGTTCATTTATCCGATTCTATCGTATAATATGACTTAAACTTGCAATTGTTCTTATAGTTATATAGACAATGCAATCAGGAGTTATTCAACGCAATTTAACAGTTTATTGCTGCGAGCATATTTCAGAACATTTCCGAAAAACCAAGGACCAAGGACTGCTTTGGGATTGTTCTTGAGTACCGTGCGCATCCCTTTATTGACACTTTCATTTTTCCTTTAAAAGTGCACACTATACGCGAATATTGTCATTGGTCAGACATAAAATATCTAAATCAATCAATAGCAATTTATAATATTATAACAGTCTTCCCCGTCGGGAATCTCAAAGGTGCCTGATTCATACTCGGAACATCTAGGTTGTTAGTAATTCCCTTTTGAAATTTGGAACGCCTTTAGGTTGTTTGTTTGAAAAGGAAATCGATATCTGAGTTATCCAAGAGCTTATTATTAGCGCCTGGTATATTTCGACAGAAGCAAACACATGAAAGCTCTTAACAGTGATCAACAACAAATGTCAAAATCTGGGATTTAAACCACAATTAATAGCCCCCACTGGGGTTTCCCCATGAGTGATTAAAAAGTCCGGTTTTACTTGTAAATATTCATCCTAAAAGGAGTTTCCAGAATACAAGTTAGTTTAGTTTAAACATATTTGTACAAATTTACAAATGGATCGGACAACAAGTTATTACAACTTAATAGAGTCCTCTCCTCAATACCTATTGTAAAAATAGTGTATATGTTTTTGGGGAAAGGGAAAAAGATAGGTTGGAGAAGGAAAGGTGGGGTGGGAAAGGGGTGGGGGTGATGGAAGGGAGGGGTGTTACCTAGAAAAGTAGACGTGTCAACTGAGAAATCGATCCGCATTTGAATAAATTATAAATCATACAGATTTCATGACATGCATCCTGGTAGAGTAATTTCAAAATGAACAGAATCAGTGTAACAAATAAATCAGGCAAAATAATGAAATACAATTTCATAAACACATATAACAACTTACACATAAATAAAAATAGAAAAGTAATTATAACTATCAAAACCTAATGAATACAAGTTGCTTCTAGGGCCTACTAAAAGTCCTTTTTCCCAGCAATGGGAGGGGGAAATCCCTCATCCGGCGCTACGCGCCTTGGATGCTTAACTCTCTGTAACATACACTTCAAAAAATGATCTGCTACGCCACTGAGTTGGCAAGTATTTCTGGGTACTCCGTTTTTTCTCCGCCACCACAACCTGTCTAGTCCCTAAGTGACTATAGATATCAATAGGATGTTAAACACGAACAAATCAAACTTAAATCGTCTTTTTTTCTGCACATTACGATGGGTCCGAAAATACACACTGTAACAAATTATTTGGGCCCTTGTGGTGTAGCACTATTAAATGTCTAACTTACAGTAAGATCTCGTTTCCTGCCTTTTCTTATTTTCCGGACGACACTATAATACTCTATATATTGACAGCACCAGCAATACAACAAATAGGTACAACAAATACCGTCTCTCGATATACTTCAGTCGATAATTCTACGGAACGAAGTATGAACCACGGAAAACCAGAGAACTAGTTCAATTGGCATGTTTACAATGGCTATCGGTATATGAGTTTGTTTTAAAGATATTTCCAGCTGCTTTTTCTACTATCGTTGAAACTTTGGATCGGGCACCAAACTCCAAGTGATCAAAATTATTCGAGCCTTTTTTTCCTGGATGATTTAATATTTCAGAAACGGAGAACAAATAGTTCATGTATGTTTGAACATAGCATGATGTGTAACTGAAATTTTAGAGGATAGGAATACATGTAACTGCGTGCCTGTCTTGGCAGAACAATTAAGAAGGCACACCAAGCACCAATCGAACATGTACTGACCCCATGCAACTTCCTCGACATTCGCTCCCAGTTTTCAATGCAGCCTGATTAATGACAACAAGAACTCGAGATAACTAATCCAGAACACTCTGCCGATTGAGCTATATAGCTATAAAGACCTATATAGATACATACACCTATAAATTAAAGCTATATTGAGCTATATTTTCTCAGATTTCAAATTTCATTAAATCAAAGCAAAATCGCATTAAACAATTAGGTTTATGGTAATGTTGACTACAAAAAGTATACATTCAGATGTTTATTTTCATTTTTTATAAATGTAAATTTTTTGATTTATTTACATCATTATTTTTTAAAAAGAATACTTATATTTGATGTCTTTTGTTATCATCATAATGATAAATCTTATTTTAAATGCGACTTTGTTTCGTTTTCCTTAAAAAAGAAAATCACATGAAAATAGCTCTAAAGACCTATTTCAGATAGGTCAATAGAGCTATTATAGGTTTTTACAGCTATATAGCTCAAACGGCAGAGTGTACTGGACCTGCTAATAACAGCTTCAAATATCAAGAATAACGACATATATTCCCATGGCAGGGGCAACCGTAGCTGCGATAACGCAGCTTTCTGACGACGAGAGATTTTTTTTTATATATTGCGTCGTCAGAGGAGGCAGGGTATTAATATTAGTTCTGGGGTACCCTCATATACCGATATTAAACTAGCTACGTTCATTTTTAAAACAAACAGGATGGAAATGAGGTATTATGAAATATACTGAAATTAACAATCTGTTTCGTATTGGATAACCCTGCACTGGATACAGGACAACTAAGTCGTGCAACAGCGAACCATGGTTTGCTGCATTCAGGTCGTGCCATACCAAACCAATACCACTGGTTTGGCGATACGCCCAGCACTGTTAGCTTCATATTAGCTGTGGTACGCGTGAATTCAATAAAGAAATACATGAGAATGTTATCATTCTTGACGTTTCGGTTTTTCTTTACAGTTTCCGAGAAATAATTACAGCATGGATGTTTCAGAAACACGGAGTGTATGACAGCTAATGATGGCCCAAAAATAAATTTCCTACACTAGCCTAACACGTGTCTGGATGAAATAGAACTCAATACTGTCGCGCGGTACAAATATGCTGTGTGTTTACACACAGCGCTTAATAAACCTTGATAGACACAAGCTACAGTGTATAAATACACATTATATAACTTCACAACGCATATGTGTTGATACACACCTATTGCAGCAGTATTGATAAATAGACACTCGTGCATACCTCGGCTTTGTCAGGACATCTGCACGTGGCAAATACGTGTCTTGGTGGCGTTTCAAGCTGCAAGAACTGTCGGACAAGTTCCAGACCTATTCCACGATTAGCCCCGGTAATCAATACACTTCTCGGACTCAGCATGGTTCTTCTTTGGTGTTCTAATCCCTGATTTTAACCTCGACGATAAACCGGATATGACACAGATTGTGTAAATAACGACGGTATCAGGAGTTGTTTCCCCTAGGCCTACATAGCTTTACAAACATTAACTTATTACATAACACTCTGCACAAGTCTAACTTGAACTTAATTAAAATCGCTGATTATCTTTCTGTAAAATATAAAGTATTACTCTACTACGGACAAAACAAATTTTATCATGTGTATGCTCAGAAAGAATTTCACCACAAATGAGGGTACGGTCTAGTTATTTTTTCCTCATTTTTATTGTGTCCTTAAAGGGGCTGGTCGGGGAAAAAATGTCATATTTGCTAAAATGGCATACACATGTTTAAAAGACCATCTTATGAAATATACCGATACAAATTTTGCTGAAATTCACTCCCTAAGAGTAAAAATTATAATTATATTAAAGAAATCCTAAATCGTCACCTGACAGTCTAAAACTCTCAATAAACCAGTTCACGCTACTACCCAGATCAGTGATGTAATTTTACCGCACGCGCATCATCAACAAGGCCAAATGTAAACATCGCGGCGAAGGAAAAAGATGCATGTTAAAGTCATGACAGGCACGAGGTATCAATACCGTTATATATAACAACAACATATAGGTAGGAATACTACACTTGGATCATACATGACCTTTGAAAACAATTATTTACGTATGGTATTGCTGTCTTGTCCGCTAGTTGAGTCCGACATGGCACATGACGGCGTGCTATTGTTGTTATCTTCACTGCCTCTCTTTCGAAACAACCACGTGACATATATAAATAGATTTGCGCTAAATTTAGGCAGGGCTTCCCCGAGATTTCAGTGGTCAAAACTGGACATTGCAAGCAGAACTCGACCATCATATTGCCATGGTATAACTTTTGGAAGGCCAAAGAACGCATTTAGACCCATTTATTTTGTAATTTTTTCCCCGATCAGCCCCTTTAATATTAACAATAAACGTGTTTGTTGACATATCCAAGTATAATCCAATCCCCCAGGAAGATGATCGTTGTGTCAGTCACGTGGCGTACATCGATGCGTTAGTTCGTGTAATGCTTGTTTGAAGCAGACATAATCATTTCTGACCCGTGAACACCTCAACATATGTTTTAATACTGTAAGTTTTGCACCATATAGGGGTTCTACACCCGATTATATTTTGAATGGCCGTTGGTCAAGGTTAAAGAGTCAAAGATCACACTAGACAGACAGACAGACGCTTTTGAATACAACAAATACTAATATGAAATCACCTCATGAACCTACACCATATATACTTATGACATGGTCAGGGATGATATACCCCGTGTATCAGTCTTGAAGCTATACATAAAGCTGTTACCTAGGACGAAGCCGGAGAAAAATAGCTCTATGCAAGGGATTGAAATGAAAACCCTGCTAGTACCAGAAATGGCCAAGAGATAAACTTTTTATCATAATAACCCCTGGTTGTGTTTTTTTTTTACATTTTGTGGTTGAAAAACAAGTTTACAGCATTCCTATAACTCGAGTAGTTTTTGCTGTAATCACTATTCAGATTTCACATCTTATATCATTGTCGTAAAATGTCATATCTGCGTTCACCTGTGTGAGTTAACATCGCCTGACAGATCGACCAACCTGATTTTTATGATTCTTAAATTAAAACTTCATGAGCATCTCCTTATGTGCGAGATGGCGTTCCAATCCTTCCAAGATCATCGTTACTAAAGCTAAACTATTTGACTTCATCGACTCTTCGTCGTCCGTTATCCCGACGTAATTTTCTCACACAAACCAATGACGTAACAAGAGAAGATAACTCTGCAATACGCAAAGACGGAAATTCTAAACATAAAACCTTTTTTTTTTTTAAATCCTGAAAATGTATGGCTCCCCACATTAACTTAACTGCAGCTCATGTATGTGCCGATTTTTTTCTAACAAGATTTAGTCAGATGCTGATTTTTTCTCTAAACTACAGTTGGACAATTTTGCTTAGTAGGAGAACTTTACTATAATAAGTATGTAGAAATCTGTTCTGTCATAACTCCCAGAAGTATGTATTCGCTATATCAAGTGTGTTTAAAGGTTCCCCGAACGTAAGTCAAACAAAATGGCTTCTGTTTTACGTCTGCGTGTATTTGACACAATTTCTACCAATTTCTTTTCATGGCGATTTTCCATGGTAAAACAGTTTTTCGGGTTTTTTTAATGACTGTCGCCATCATTTTTTTATGTCTAGATAGCAAAATTGTCCTTTCAAAAAAAAAAAAAAAAAAAAGCGACAAACGGTATAGTTATATATTGAACTTCAGTAACACTTCAAAAATAGCCGTCAGTTATTTCATTGTACACCAGCTAATTCTCTGTAATTCTGGTCACTTATGAAAAAAGAAGGTAAATCGTTTTGGTTTTACTATTAATTTAATCATGTTGAATATCTAAAAGCTCAAATCTCTAGTTTACGGAATGATCAGCGAGACTCTCAGTTTATGGACTTCCCACCCTTAGTAGTACACATGTTTTTCTTGTCGTGGTTCGTGTCGACATTTTTGTATTGCGTATCGGGCATTTCAATACCGTAGTGAAAATTATGCTTAAACTGGGTTAACATTTCATTTTATATTGTTGTTATTGTTCCGAACATATTAAAATTGACGAAACATTTCCAGGTATCGGAATGCTTAGATTTTCATATTATCACCTCTGCATAGTTGCAAAACCATTATGTGAAAGTTTCAGCGAATTCCGCTGGTTAATTAAGAAAGGGTGGAGCCTCATTAATAATGAATAACCGACGAATGTGTTCAACTATAAAGGGAAATAGCTCTGAGTTTCTTTGGGATTTCCTAAACTTCTGAACTTCTAAACTTTCCAATGTTCCCCTCAACATAATGGTTAACCATGGAAATATGGCATTTATGATTTAACCCAAAAGAGAAACGTCTAATAATAACAGCTCCGCTGTAGGGCAGATCAAGAATTCCGTGTAGCGACTGGCCTAGCGATCCGTGAATATTAACATTAGTACTATTGTGTGTACGCTAAAAACTAAACCTTTTTACGTTTTGCTATTCAAAAATAAACTCTTAACCAATGCGTCTGTGTGGACTGATTGGATATACTTTTGTAGTGGTCTACGGTAAGGATTAAGTTTGGGCTTGTCCGTGTTTGTTCAAAACAGGCACAGAAGGTCATTGAGGAGGTCATTATTCTTTTGAAGTACTTATGTGTTGTAGTGCAAAGGATTTAATTATTTGAATAGAGATTTATGAATTGTACAAAAAATACCTCTCGTAAATAACATTCGACAGTGGCGGCGTAGATGTAGGTGGGGGCCCAAGGCAGGGTAATTTTATATTCATGTAAATAATACTCCTAGTGTAAGGACGGAATAAATCTGTAAAAGCGAGTTTACTTCTTTCGAAATAGTTGAAAACAGAAGACTCGAGGATGACGGAAAAAGGTAGTACCGAACCTTTCAAAAATAAAATTGCCATTCATCTAAAAATATTTCATTGCCAGAATTGTAGCAAAAGGAAACGACACAAGTTTTTACATTATTTACGCCCTCTCCACAAATGGTACCAAACAAATATAATAACAAAGAAGACGTTCTAAAAGCATTCAGGTTTTGTTTGAAGGTTGTTCTTTCCTGTCGAGGTAAACGTTTATTAGTTTTGTTACTTAGACTGTATGACTGGGTTTAATAAAAATATGTACATTTCTAAACATTGCTAAGGTAAATGATGGTTTCCAAAAAGGAGTATATGACTGAAGGGTATAGTCCATGTTAGAGTCCTTATACTTTAAAATTTTACTCATCAGTGGTGAACACTATTTGTACAGTTGAAAAAGAAGTGATAAGCATTCTCACACGTGTGACCACGCTTTCTACGATATCAGCCCGATTAACGAACAACATGTATGCCTCAGTTTAGTGTTAACAACATTTAGTTTCCTAGACAATCAAGCTAGTTAAGTGAAAAACAGTATGCCGGGTGGCGGATTCCGGAAAGTTTCCATGTGGTGAAAGTAATTGTTAGTATGCGGTTGTGCATATCTGTATATGACTTAGTCCGAATTATTCTGACGTTTTATCGACTTTTTCATATCGGTCTGTCGTCGATTAACGTCAGAACTCCGGCCCTCTATAATATGCGGGAAATATGCGACCCGCACCCGGAGCGCACTTCAAACTCATATTTTAGAAACAAATCGTCACTTTCACACACATGTCGCATATGGATCGAAAGATATATTCTTTATGCACTAGGTGGTATCAATAACATGTAAAACGTCAGAATAATTCGGACTATATATAACTAAGAACGATAACAAAATCAAAAAACAAAACTAATCATTTAATGTAGGACACGTTCTGATATAACACCTAGTCCGATTCATTTAAGCACGAAGAATCGAGGGTAGACTTTAAAATTTTATACTGGAAAGTTAGGATATATAGGTCGTAGGACAAGGCCAAAACGTTTACGTAAAGGATATTCCGTCTTTGCGTATTGCAGAGTTATCTTCTCTTGAGAGCATGTATTGATTGTTACGTCATACCTTTCATTATTACCACATACACATTATTATAGTCAACACTCCTTTATCAATAAATTTCATTATTAATTTCCAAATTCCTTTTAAAACAGTATATTAACCAATCTTAAAAACCAAAAAGGCATAATTATGCATAGGTGATTTTTTTAGGACTGGTATAATACTAACACATAAAAATGTAAAGATTAGAAACCCATGTTAAAGAAAATTATGATATGGTACATGTAATTTTAATTTGATATAAAAATAACTTTGAGTATTTTGTGGAATGAGGTTATATATCTATTTAAGATGATGTTTTACCATCATCATCATCATCATCTCAAAAATGTAATATTTATCATGTAGAATATATATCTTCATTTGTATTTTGCAGATGACAGGTTGTTTAGCTATATAGTACTGTATACCCTGTTCAATGGTCTTGTTATACATAACCTGCTCCAGGGTCTTGTTATACATAACCTGTTCCAGGTGGTTTAGCTA